GATAATGACAAAAGGACCATCCGGAAGAGGGCCACGAGGTTTGCACTAATTGGAGAAACCCTCTAAAAAAAAGAATTTTGACTCCACTCTGTTAAGGTGTGTGGATCATGAGGAGGCTCAAACCCTGATAAAGGAGATTCATAAAGGAGCTTTTGGGACCCACGCACCTGGGCATGTCATGGTAAAGAAGATTCTAAGGGCAGGGTATTTCTGGTCCACAATGGAAGGCGACTATCACCAATATGCTAAAAGATGTCACAAGTGCCAAGTCTATGCCGATAATGTTCACGTTCCGCCTGCACCTCTCAACACCCTGGCTACACCATGGCCATTCTCCATGTAGGGCATGGACGTCATCGAACCCATCGAGCCCAAAGCATCTAATGGTCACCATTTTATCTTGGTGGTCATTGACTATTTTACCAAATGGGTAGAGGCGGCATCATACGCACACGTGACTAGAAAAGTGGTGACCACCTTCATCAAGAGGAATATTCTATATCGGTATGGTATCCCTCATCGGCTCATTACTGACAACGGGACCAATCTAAATAATAAGATGATGGAAGAATTATGCCAAGATTTCAAGATTCAACACCACAATTCCTCTCCATACCAACCTAAGATTAACGGTGCAGTAGAGGAAGCCAACAAAAACATCAAAAAGATCATCCAAAAGATGGTAATAACATACAAGGATTGACACGAAATGCTACCCTTCGCCTTGCACAGATATCGGACTTCCGTACTAACCTCCACCGAGGCCACCCCGTTCTCCCTCGTATACGACATGGAGGTTGTATTGCCAGTAGAAGTTGAAATACCCTCCCTAAGAGTCATTAATGAAGCAAAGCTAACCGAAGCAGAATGGGTCCAGAATCGGTACGACCAGCTTAACCTGATCGAAGAAAAATGGCTGGACGTCATATGTCATGGGCAGGCCTATCAAAGGAAGATCAAGAAGGCCTATGATAAGAAGATCAGTCCTTGCACTTTTCAAGAGGGGGATTTAGTAATAAAGAAACTACTTACCGCCCAGAGAGGACAAAATTGGAAAATGGGCAGCAAACTATGAAGGAGGAGCCCTTATCCTCACTAACATGGACGAAGAAGAGTTTTGACACCCGATCAACTCAAACGCTGTAAAAAGGTACTACGCTTGAAGACATTGCTCATGACCCGTCAGGACAAAAACTCGCAAAGAGCATCCTAGGCAAAAAATAGGGTCTATATTCCTCGCTAGGACACGTCCTAGGCAAAAGTTAGAGGTTTAAAAAAAAAGGGACAAAAAAGAGCAATGATTACCTTAACCGAAAACTGCAAGGCGACTAAGGTAGTATCCTTCCAGAAGCAAGCAGACTTCGCATGATTTTCACTTCGGGCTCGAGCATCTCAACTGGAGCGACTGGGAGAAATAGAGAGACAGATGTTAGGGACATGATTGTTATAGCTTATACAGTGTAGCCAACCTTGGCCAACCATGCTTCTAAATCCCTTTGTAATCCTTCTGTAAAAATAAACCATTCGTTTATATCAATAAAGTTGTCTTTTACTCCCTTTCTCTTGATCAATTTATATGCCTCTGAATTAATGAAACATGAACATGCATAAAGAACCAATACAAGAAAACATAAGGAAAGAAAAGGAAAAAATAAAGATAATGACGTCTGCTAGGAGATTCTTAGGCAAAAATTAGGGTAGCCTGCTAGATCGAAAACCCACAAAAGGAGGTCTAGGCAAAAGTTAAGGCGCTCATAAAAAGGAAAAGATCCGCTAAGATGTCCTAGGCAAAAATTAAGGCAGTCCGCTAGATCGAAAACCCCAAAAGGGCGGTCTAGGCAAAAGATAAGGCTTAATAAAAATGAATAAAAAGAAGAGCCCATCATAGAAATCATGGAAGATCAACAAAATAATGTCATTCACTTTCTAGATGCATCAAATAAAAGTGGATTGCATTTAAGGCATCCACATAAATATTCGTACAAAACGACTTTGTCAAAATCGAAAAACAAAAATAAAGAATCACTTCAGATAAATAACAAAAAACGAAAAACATTCATCCATATAAGGAGACTAGCTCCATGCTTGCGTTTGAAAGATGGGAAGCACTCAAAAGCAAGCCTCCAAATGAAGCTCCCCCAAAGAAAACAATGTGAACCGAAAGCCTTCACTTCCGACGAAGTATCTGCCTACTCAGAGGCATTACCAGAACTTCAATGAACGTTCACCTGTTCAGAGGCGTTACCTAAAATGATCGCAAATCCCCGACAACCAACAAAGTCGGATGATCACTACAAAAACTCAAAAACAAAGAATCTTCAGCAATCAACAAGCTGGATGACTATCAAGAAAAGCCAAAAATCAAAGAATCCCCAGCACACCGGAAGACTTTACTAGAAAAGTCCAAAAACATTCACCAAAGCAAAACTCGCTCCCCATGGAGTCGACGCATGAGTTAGAGCAGTAAGCCACCACCACCGGTCCTACAAAGTGGACTGTACCAGCCAGATTGGGGGTTCATACTCATCAACCAGCGCATGAGCTAGAGTAGTAAGTCGCCACTACCACCAGTCCTACAAAATGGACTGCACCAACCGGATGAGGGTTCATACTCATTAATCGAGGGGTCGGCTACCGCAAGAAGGAGCATCCTGAGGTTCTACCACTTGTCAGCCGAGGGGTCTACTACCATAAGAAGGAGCATCCCAAAGCTACAAGCAACTGGATGGGGGTTCATACTCATCAACCGAGGGGTCGGCTACCGCAAGAAGGAGCATCCTGAGGTTCTACCACTTGTCAACCAAAGGGGTCGGCTACCGCAAGAAGGAGCATCCCGGAGGTTCACACCTTTTCGTCCAAAGGGATCGGCTACCACATGAAGGAGCATCCCAGAGGCACACATATTTTTCGTCTGGAGGGTTGGCTACCGCAAGAAGGAGCATCCGAAGGACAGTCGGACAAGAGGGTTAACTCCTTCACCCTCCAGCCGATCCTTTTGGCATGTCGAGCCAACAGTCGGCTAGTCAGGTGAAGGGGGGGCTGTTGTAGACCCCAAATCTTGCCCGACCTCTAAATAAAGAGCAGAAGACTTCCGTTCGAAGATGGGCAAGGCCTAAAAGGTCTCTAGGATTGATCAATAGGCCCCGTATTAGAATAAGAAGGACTTTTGTACGCGAAAAATAGGAAATTCCACCTAAAGGGCCAAGACCGCCGTTTCGCCATTGGCTAAGGGCGAGACCGCCGTCTTGTTTGGTGAGATCGTCGTCTCGCCACTCGCTAATAGCGAGACCGCCGTCCCGTTTGGCGAGATGGCCGTCTTGCCACTTGTCGAAGGCGAGACCGCCGTCCCGTTTGGTGAGACGGCGGTCCCGACCTGATAGGCGCGAATTTCTATAAAAGGGGGGACGTCCTCATCCTTTTCAGGGCATTATTCCACTTTCCCTTCTGCAATTTCTTCAAATTATTCTCCTGATCCCTCTGAAGCATTTCCAGAGTTTCTTAGTATTCTTAGAGAGTGTTCTATAGTGTTGCAAGGAAGAACGACCAACATTGTAGAATCACTACAAGAAAAATACCAAATAGTGATCGAAATTAGTGACTGAAAAATTCAGTCACTGATAGTAACCGAATCAGTGACTAATTTCCCTTTTTATATTTAGTGACTGATTTAGTGACTAAAATTTCAGATCACGAGATATCGGTCATCGATTCAGATCATCGAATCGGTCACTCGATTCGATCACTACTAGAAAAATGGTTAATAGTGATCGAAAGTGGTGATCGATTTTTTTTATATTTAGTAATCGATTTAGTGACTAAATTTTCGATCACTAAAAAATAATTTTTAAATTGATAACTATTTTTCATTTATATAAATATTTTATTTAAAATATTTTAAATATAAATCTACTTAATAATTTAAAATAAGTGATAACATTGTTAATAACATTATAAAAATTAAAAAAAAATAGTTTACTAACTTATTAAATAATTTAGTAATATAATTATTTAATTTTATTTTTTAATTTAACATGTGAATAAAAAAATTAAAATTGATTATTAAATTAGTCATCGAATCGGTCACTGATTCGGTCATTGATTCGATCACTAGAATCGATCAATAAATCAATAATTAAATTAATTATTAATTTAGTCTCTTTTATATATATATATATATATATATATATATATATATATTACTTGTATGTTAATAAAAATGTATTTCAATGTATTTATAAAAAATTAAAATTATTTTAATTACTGAATTGATATTTTAAATTTATATTAATATCTTGGATAATTTAATAGTTGGATATATATTTTAAGTTTATATTAGTCATTTTTATATAAAAGTGTAAAAATAAAGTGAACTTATTTTAAAATTTAATTAAACATAATAATATAATATAGTATTAACCATAAATATGTGAAGATTTAGTTAGAAATTAATTTTAAGTTTTATTTAAAAAAAATCGTTAAAAAAATTTAAAATAATTAATTAAAGTAAAGAATTTTAATTTAATAAATGTGTTAATATTATTAGAAGAATTAAATTTATATTAATAATTATATAAAATTATAGATATATTAAAATTTAAATTATTGGTAATTTTTTTAATTATTAAACTAAAATTTGATAATATTAATAAATTAAAAATAAAATATATATATATATATATATATATCACTTTAATTTTTTTAATTAAAATTAATTTCATAAAAAAATTAATATTTGAAAATTAAAATGCAAAAGTATATATATTTATCTTTTATTTAATTATACTTTTACACCTAAAAAAAGAAAAAAATAATAAAATTTTCTTTTATTAATCATTTTTATAAAATAAAAAAATATATAATAATTATTTTTATAAAAAAAAAATTTAAGTTCCAACCTGCTGAGTGACCTAATTTTAACCTAAATTTTGGGTCATCACTCTCATTTTCATCACCTTCATTTTCCCTTCACTCACGCGTCTCACCATTCTCCCTAGAGATCCCTACTTCCACTCTTCCAGAATCCCTCTTTTTCCTCGGGTAGCAGCCCCCACTCTCCGTGCACCTTCACTTACCCTTTTCCCTTTCAGCCTTATTGCGCCACTCGCACCTTGGCAATCACCTCCAACCACGGCCAGCACCACTCCAGCTCCCTTCTCAACCCTTCACTGGAGCCCGCGCAGCCCCTATTCAACTCCGACCGCGGCTCCTCCACTGTGACCCGCAACACCACTAAACGGCCACCACGATCCCCCCACAATCACTCCCCCAAATCGCCGAGCCACCACCACGACCATCCCCATCTCCAGCCCCTCTAATCTTCCCCACCACAAATCACCACCACTCCTTCATCTCACCGTAGCTAACCGCCACCACCGCACCAGCCCTAGCCACTTACGCGACCACCTTCATCCCTAAAATCCTTTCTTATTCCCCTCTGCTACCACCTCAATCGCGCCACTGCGAACCATACTTCGGCAACCCCACAGCAAACGCAATCTGCGGCCCCAGTCGCACCTCTCTGTGAGCCACCTTCCCATTCATGCCGCGGCTGGTGGGGTGGCATCCTCGGAACAGTGTCGAGTCCTTTCCTTAAAGCAGAAGTCGCGGGCCAACTTCCCTATAGAGGTTGAACTCGAGGACCGGGATCCATGTTTTGGGTCTCTGTTTTGCTTGATTTGTTTTAAGTTTCCGCCTGGTATTGCATTTCTGATTGAGGGTTTTGTTTCTGATGGTTTAACCTTGTTGATTTTGACCCCTTTGCTTAATGTTGTTGTTTCTGAGTGGGATATGTTAAATGTTGGTTAGCATGGTTGTATCCAAGTCGAGGCATGTGGTTCCAGTGTGGTTTCATTCCGTTTATTTGATTAACGTTATGCTTTGATTTGATTATGTTGGTTGTGTTGAATATAAAGAAAATATAGTTTGGAATTAATTTCCCTTGTGTATAAATCACACATAGGGTGGTCTATTTATAGTAGAGAAATACAACTAAAAGAGTAACTGAAAGTAACAGAATAAACAGAAGATATTGTTTGATATTGTGGTTACCAATATCTAACAATATCTTAACAATATCAAATAATATATAAACAATATCTAACACTCCCCCTCAAGCTGGAGCATACAAATCGTATGTGCCAAGCTTGTTACAAATATAATCAATTCTAGGACCCAGTAAAGATTTAGTAAAAATATCTCGCTAACTGATCACTTGAGTTAACAAACTCGGTCTTGATATCTCCGGACATAATCTTTTCTCGAATAAAATGACGAGTCAATCTCAATGTGTTTGGTCCTCTCATGAAAGACAGGATTAGAACTAATATGAAGAGCGGTCTGATTGTCACACACAAGTGTCATTTGAGTGACATCTCCAAATTGTAACTCTCTAAGCAATTGCTTGAGCCAAACAAGTTCACGGGAAGCTGAGGCCATAGCTCTATATTCCGCTTTTGCATCTGGATCTTGCCACAACACTTTGTTTCTTACTTTTCCATGAAATCAAGTTACCACCAATGGAGACACAATATCCGGATGTAGATCTTCTATCCGAAGGAGATCCTGCCCAATCAGCATCCGAGTAGCAAACAACTCTTGTATGGTTATTAGAAGCATATAACAATCCTTTTCCAGGAGATCCTTTAATATACTTCAAGATACGAATGATCGCATTCCAATGATCTTCACATGGTGAATTAAGAAATTGACTTACCACACTGATCGCAAAGGAAATGTCGGGACGAGTAACTCGTAAGATAATTCAATTTTCCAACCAATCTTCTATACTTGCTCAGGATCGGATATAGGCTCCCCCGATTTGGTAGAAGTTTAGTATTGGGATCCATGGGTGTATCAACGAGACTTTGAACTCATCAACCCAGTTTCTTCCAAAATATCTATGGCATACTTCCTCCGAGATATAACAATACCATCATTGGATCTGTGCTACCTCAATACCCAAGAAATATCTAAGTTTGCCAAGATCTTTGGTTTGAAAATGGTGACAAAGATGTTGTTTCAACTGAGAGATGCCATGGTTGTCACTACACTGTAAGAACAATATCATCAACATATACTATCAAGTAAACACATCCAGCACTCGAGTGTCGATAAAAGACAGAATGATCTGATTCACACCGAGTCATACCAAATTGTTGAACAACCTTGCTAAACTTTCCAAACCAAGCCCTAGGAGACTGTTTTAGGCCATATAGGGATTTGCGAAGACGACATACCATCCCAGAAGACTCCCCCTGAGCAACAAACCAAGGAGGTTGCTCCATATATATTTCTTCTTGCAAATCACCATTGAGGAAAGCATTTTTAACATCCAGTTGATAAAGAGACCATTGTTGAAGAGCAGCCATGGCGATAAATAAACGAACAGAAGCCATCTTTGCCACAGGGGAAAAGGTATCTCCATAATCCAACCCAAAAAAATGAAACTCCGGCGAATTCTCCGACAGCGGCGGACCCAGTGACTGCTCCAGCGGCAGCGGTGACAGTAACGTGAACTAGTACACTAGGTAAGTTCCCAGGAAAGAGAGGTGGGTCACTAATGGACACACTTAAATACCAAGTCTTTCCTTGCCAGAACTTTCCTAAACATGAACTTTCACACTACCAAATAAAATTCAATGACAAAGATAATTCTTTTCTGATGTGGAGGATCAGTTTACCAGCAGCGGTGGGGCGGCTCTAGCAGCGGTGGGGCGGCTCCAACAGTGGACAAAAGGCGGAAAAAAAATTCAAGATAACCTTAAGCTCTGATACCATGTTGAATATAAAGAAAATATAGTTTGGAATTAATTTCCCTTGTGTATAAATCACACATAGGGTGGTCTATTTATAGTAGAGAAATACAACTAAAAGAGTAACTGAAAGTAACAGAATAAACAGAAGATATTGTTTGATATTGTGGTTACCAATATCTAACAATATCTTAACAATATCAAATAATATATAAACAATATCTAACAGGTTGTTTCTGACGGGTTTAGTTTAAATGGGGTCGTTAAGTTTTTTGGTTGTGATGACTGCTACTTGTATCAATTGTGTTCATCTCCTTGTTTAACATATTATTATTAAAACAGGTGATATTATTTGTTGAGATGGTGTCCTGCATTATTGTTTGTTAAGATGGTGTCCTGTATAATACCTGGTTGTTAAGTAATGTTCACCTTGTACCATTTGTTTGCAGATACACCTAATGTTGTCTTGTATGATTATTGTTTGTTAAGATGGTGTCCTGTATGCTACTTGTACCATTTGTTTGCAGATACACCTAATGCTGCTCATGAGTTAACAATAGCAGGTAACACTCTTGGCTCCAATCACTTACAGTGTCCCCCTTCCCACAGTCGTATAGTTATTGCATAGGCTTGGCCAAATTCTTTAAGTAATAGAAGCGTATCCTATTAGTAAATCTCAAATTTGCTTGATTCATAAAGGATAGCTATATGCATTGGCTTGCTTGCCTATAAGCTCTTTGTGGATGAAAAATTAGATTTCTCTTCTATACCCATCCTTGCTATTCATGTAGGCTAAAGCTGAAACATAACAATCCTCTTTATTGTTAGAAAGATAATTTTTGCGATCTGGTTGTTGAAACATAACAATCCTTGCTATTCTTTTGTTTCCATTTATTGTTTGTTTTGCAGCCAGTTGTTTCTGCAGTTGGGTTGGTTCACTTGGGCTTAAAGGTTAAAGGTATTTGATTTTTGTTTTCTTGCTTGTTTTTTTTTTTTATATAAAGTTTTATTTACTGAATTACTTTACTGAATTTTGGGAGTGTTTGAGGCATTTTTAGTTGAATGACTGAAATGGGTAGAAATGTTTTAGGATTTTTATTTTTTATTTTTAATTTGGGGAATTTAGAAATATGTTTATGTCTTTTTAATCGATTTTGAGCTGCTAACTACTGTTTTATTATAATAAATGTGCTGCAGAATGTTTTGTACTTGAATTTTAAATTTCAGGTGACTTAAATACAGATTGGAGTTACTCTTTATTAGAAAAAAAATAATATTCGGTCATAAAAATAAGTGATGCATTTGCGCCGAGGTGAGACTGATGAGAGAGATGGTGTCCACTGTGGGGCTTGTGTGTTGTTGCAGAGAGACGTTAGAATGCTCTGTTATTGCCATGTTGTGATGTTCCTTCGTTGAGAGGGTCATCAGCTTTTTGTTGTTCTTATCGGAACTTTTCAGTTTTTTTTTTATTAAAATATTTGAGTTCGCAATGGTCTAATAAATCTTAGACCAACCTTCTTCTAAATAAGGTGGGTCCCAAAGGGTTGAAGAAATCCAAGTCCTGTTATTTTACACGTTGGATTATACACATTAATTGCTTTCATTATTATCCATTAGCGTTGTTTTTGGGAGAGAGGATATTTATCATATTAAAAAGATAATATGATTCAAATATTTACTTTTTAGATAATTATAAATGTTTAGTTATTTAATAATGCATCGTTGAAGACTGAAGCAATTAGCACCCCCACACGTTCTTTCTATGGATAGTGAATAAATCAAAACACAACAAAAAGTTATAATGAAAAGGGAATGAATGGTACGAAACGAATTCAACACATGAGGATGTAAGTTTCTTGTTTTTCTTCTTATGTTAATTTCTTAAAAAATTTTATCTTTTTTTATGTTTTTATCCAATTCACTACTATTCTATTTTAATGTTTATAGGCAGAGTTTAGTCGTGCCTGGGAAGAAGCCTCTCAATCAGATCTATTGCAGGAGGTTCTCCGCCTGATGAATTACAGGTTTGGTGTAAAGTTGCTGGAATAAACAAAGGCAAAGTATATGGGCTTGGATCTGAGTCAAGCAAAGCAATTGGGAGAAATCTTTGCCACGACTCTACTTCATCATCTGTCCAGCTTATGAGGGAGGAGATTGAACAATTAAAAAACAAGTTACAGGAAGTTCAGACTGAAAGGGATGATCTCCGTGAAAGAATGTTAACTAATGAGAGAAAAATTCAGAAAAATGATAAAATGTTGCTCCTCTTGATGGAGAAGATGGATGTTCAACCTCCTAAATTCCTGAATTGTGAACTGATTCTGTTATGTATATTGTATTTGTTTTGTTAGTATTTGACATTTTCAGAATTATGACTCTTATTTTAGTTTATTCTACTTATTTTTTATATTGAATTTTCAATATGTAAGAAAGTATTTAATTCATGAATGATGACTTTATTTAGAACAAAATTTGTGATATTATTTTGATGGTTATCTTAGGTAGTGAAATTTTCATATATTTAATATATATAATGTATTTCATAGGTTTATCGTTATTTTAAAAATAATATAAAAAAAATAAAATAAAATTAGTGATCGATTTGGTTATATATATATATATATATATATATTTGGTCACTAAATCGGTCATTGATTCGGTCACTGAATCGGTCACTAAATTGGTCACTAAAATCAGTGACCAAGGAAATAGTGACTGATTCCAGTTGGTCACTATTTCGGTCACTATTTTAATTAGTGACCGATTTTGGACATTTAGTGACCGAATTTT